CATGATGAATACTATGTAGCACACAAGAGTAATGATTTGGTAAATTTCTACCTAATTTGGGAGGGTCTGGAGAGCATTATGCTGAATGAACTAACTCAGTCCCATAAAGACTAATACAGTATAGGACCATTATTGTAGAATGTGTATGAGGAACCAAGGGAGGGGGGCAGGGTGGTAGCAGAGGGTGAGAATGGGCTATGGGCAAGAGAGAGGAAATCATAGGGTCACACCATCTAATGGTGGGGGGAGGAGGGTAAAGAAAATGGGAAAGATCTGGTGTGAAAAACAATGTATTTGAATTTTGTAAATAAACAAGTACAATTTTTTTTAAATTATTTTTAAAAATTCAGAAAAAAGAAAAGGCTGAAAATTTCTCTAGACCATCAAGAAGCCAAAATGAAGGGAAGAAGCTAGCAAAGTAAAAGAAATGAGGAGAATATATCAAAGGGCAGCTTAAAAAGACAAAATAAAGGATTAAATTATAACAGAATGTGCAAAGAACTAGACAAAATGAACTTATTTGTCATTTCTCAAACTGAAAGAACTTAAAAACAATTTCAAGCCTCAAGTTGCAATACTGAGAGATGCTATGGGAAAAATCTTGAATGATCCAGGAAGCATCAAAAGAAGGTAGTGGGAACACATGAAGTCACTGAACAAAAAAGAATTGGTCAAATAAAAAGTTAATTAGAAAAAAAGAATTGGGTGACACTGAAATATTTCAGAAGGTAGTATATGATAAAGAGTCAATGATGATGAAGAAAGAAGTTCAAGCTATCCTGAAGGCATTGGGAAAAAAATAAGTCCCAGGAATCAGTGAGATACTCGTTGACATGGTCCAAATATCAAATGTAACCCTGGAGTGCTCGCCAGTCTGGGCAAGGGAATTTGACAACACCTACATAGCTGTTTGAACTGGAAGAGATTAATATTTGTTCCCGTTCCGAAGAATGGCGATCCAACGGGGTGTGGAAACTATCAAACAAATTCTTTAATATCACATGCAAGCAAAATATTGCTCAAGAAAACCTAGAAATGGCTAGAAAAGTATATTGGTAGAAAACTGCCAGAAGTTCAAGCTGGGTTTAGAAGCCGTAGCACCAGGAATATAATTGCTGATGTCAGATGGATCTTGACTCAGAGAATATAAAAAGAATATCTGTTTGTGTCTTATTGATTATGCAGAAGCCTTTGATTGTGTGGATCATAACAAACTCTGGCTAACCTTGAGAAGAATGGGTATTCCAGGACACTTAATTGTGCTTATATTAAAGCTATAACTAGCCTAAGAAGCTATTGTCTGAACAGACAAGGGACCACTGCTTAGCTTAAAACCAAGAAAAATTTGCATCAGGGCTGTATCCTCTATCTTTAATCAGTCTACATGCTGAGCCAATCATTTGAGAAACTATATGAAAAAATGTATGGCACCACATTTAAAGCAAATCTCATCAATAAACAGCATTATGCAGATGATACAAGCTTTCATGATGAAAGTGAGGAGGACCTGAAGCTCTTGCTGCAGAGGATCAAGGATCTTCAATATGAATCAAAGCCTTCAATATGAATTATTGAAATTCAAGGCACTCAAAATTAAGGTACTCTCAGTACCAGCAGTCAGGAAATCAAAATATGAATTGCACTGGGAAAATCTGCTGGCAAGGACCTCTCCAGAATACTAAAAAGCAATGTCGTCGGTCTAGAGACTAAGGTGCACCTGAACTGGCCAGGGTCTTCGCAAGTGCTTACTATGCATCAGAGAGATGGACAATGACTAAGGATAACAGAAAAGGAATCAATGCTTTCAAGTTGTGGTGCTGGAGGAAAGTCTTGAACATACCAAGGACTATAAAAAAAACAAATAATCTGTCTTGGAGAGGGTGAAACTAAGTTTCTCCTTGGAGGCTAGAAATTTGAAAGGCTGTCTCACATACTTTGGGCTTGTGGCCAAGAGGAACCGGTCCTTGGAGAAGGACATTATGCTTTGAAGGGTGGAGGGAGAGCTTGATACAGAAACTGGGGCAATAAGAGTAGGTGTGTTATAAACAGTAAGACTGGCCCAGCACAGGGAAGGCTTCAGAGCTGCTGTAAATAGAGTCTCTATGAGTTGCAGTTGACTTGACAGCACACAACAACAACAATAACATCAAGAAAACAAAAATCATCACAGCTGGACTCATAGGTAACATCATGATAGATGGAGAAAAGATTGAAAATCTCAACTATTTCATTCTGCTTGAACCCACAGTCAACACTCTTGCTACCAGTGATCAGATCAAGGGACGTAGAGCATTGAGAAAGTCTGCTGTTGGAATCTCTCCAAAGTCCTGAAGAGAAGTGTCAGTAGAAAGATGAAGGGACGCTTGATTCAAGCTACAGCCTTTCCAATCACCTAGAATGTATCTGAGAGCTAGACAACAAGAAAAGGATGACAGAAGAAAGGATGCATTTGAGTTTTAGCGCTGGAGAAGAGTGGCAAATAGTCCAAGGACTTCCAAAAGAACAAACAAATAAGTAGTAGAGAAGGTTCAACCAGAATATTCCTTGGAGGAAAAGTTGGTGAAGCTTTGTCCTATATAGATTGGGCATGTAAGGAGAGGATATTTCTAAGAAAAAGACATCATGCTTGGGAAAGCAGAGGATCAGCAAAGGAGAAGACCTTCAATGAGATGGGTTGACAGCAAGTAGGTGGAAATTGACTATAATATGTCAAGAATGATAAGGACGGCCAAGGATAGCTCAGAGTTCAGATCTATTGTTCATGGGGTTGTTATGAGTCGGCCTTGACACAACTGTACTTAACAACAGCAAAATAACACACACACACACACACACACAATATTTTTAAGGAAAACTACTACAAGAAAAAATAAGAGACCTAACCAATTGGGGAAAAATATTCTGTATTCATGGATAGGAAGATCAATATTGTGAAAATGAAAATTATACCAAAATCCATATACAGGTTCAACTCAATCCCAGTACACATACAAAAGTCATTCCTCAAGGAGATAGAAATTACAATTTGCAGTTTTATTTGAAAAAGAAAGAGACCCGAGATAAGCAAAATTCTGATGAAAAATAAAAATGAAGTGGCGATGACTCCTGGTTCTCAAAATCTACTGCACACATATAGTAACTAAAATAGTATGGTATTAGTACAATGACCAGAAAAGAGACCAATGGATTAGAGAATCGAGAACCCAGGAATCAAACTATATACCTATAGTCAAATTGATATATGATAAGGAAAAGATATCCTTTAAATGAGAAAATGACAACCTGTTCAATCAAAGATGCTTTCACATTTCCTTTTTTCACCCCTCCCTTCACTGGTCAAATTGTGTGACCTTATGATTAACCACACACACACACACACACACACACACACA